AGAACCAACGCAAAACCATCTCTTCTCCAAACACTTTGACCGTCTTCTGCCGCCCCTCCATGTCAATCGCGGCAAGTCTTCCAGAAAAAGCAGAAATTTGTCGGCAAAACCCTTGCCCCCTAGAGTCTTAGTAAACCCTTGCCGCCAGAGCAAACTCTTGCCCTGGCGGTATAGCTGGCAGGCCGCGGAGTACTCCTATGGTCGGAATTGAAAAACAATGTGTTTTTATTCCACCCGAACCATTACTCTAGCAGCCTCTCATTGCCAAACTGGATATTCAGGGGAGTACTCCGTAAAAACGCCACGGTCGCAGCCAAGCGTGCATCAGGCCTCCTTGCTGACAGTAGCAATTGTGGTTGCAGTGGAGGTTTTCACCACTGTGGAGGTCAGACTGCGTGCCAGTCTCACACACACAAAGACAACAGGCCCAGGTAAGCACATCAAGAAAGTAATCATCCATGTTCACCGCAGTGCAGAGTTGAGCGGACATGATTGGATTGCAACAGGTTTAGATTTGTGGCAGCCCATCAGTCAACCCAGAGATTTATAGTTTTAGTTCGGGTCTACTTAGCGTGGCGTAGATGCCTAGGATGTAGCTCTCCATGTGAGAAGAGTATGAAGTTGGGAACGCCTAAGTTCGATGCAACCCCTTATGGAGAAGGCGCGCACTCGCACTTCACAGGGCATTCTCCTAGGAATTTCATGTCCTGGCGTCAGCCATTGATATTCGTACCTCTCCAGAGAAGTTGTCCTTCAGCAATCTATTTGCAAATCCATTCTGGAAGGCAAAGATGTTCCCTGCTGTGAAGAGGAAGCCTTGTCTGACTTCAAGAAGGCTTTGGATGAACAGAGTCATTCCGGTTCTCGACTCGTCGCAGACATGACATTATGAAACAGCCCGACGACAGCCGCCATTTTTGGACTTAAGTGGCCATGCTTTGTTCCCCCGGCAGCTGGGTCCGTGGTTTTGGCTAGTGAAGGGGCAGCAGAGGAGACTAAGTACTTTACCACATCGCGCACTGGGCACAGACGGTTGCAGCTCAACGGTCCATGCCATGTCAAGCCTTTCCATTGCAGCAGTGTGTCCTTCACCAACACCGTAGCCAGCGAGGACATAGACAGCATTTGTCAAGACTGCAGACACCGCATGAGGTCACAGGCAGGTCAGAACCCCATTTTGGAGTCGTTGAGCGTCAGAGCATCCACCGAGTGAGAAAGCAGTTTGGAGTCTGACTTGCTACATGCAGTTGTGAGTGATTCTGTTGCATGACGGTCATGTTCGGACATGTCAGTTCCTGATTGCCTGCTTGAGATTGGAAGATTGACCTGTGGTTGAGAGATCAGTGCATGTTCGCGAGTACAGGCCCCAGATCAGTGAATGTGTCCACATGTTTGATTTGTTTGCTTGCGCAGGTATCTTCTTGACAGGAAATCAGAGCATTTTGACATGCAGTTTGTCAGTTTGAACTTGAACATTGCATGCGTTTAGTTGGCTGAGGACACCATCAATTCTTTCAGTAACATTACACGGCAGCGAGCCATGCGCAAGTGACCTAGAGGGTCCTCAGTGACACAGAGTGTCATCAGTGCAAGGGCATCTCTTTAGTGCGTGCTTCAGAGAAAGCTCCTCAGTCAACGTGCTTCAGCAGAAGTTCTTCAGTGTTCGCGGAGGCTTGATCAAGCCTAGCTAGATGGCAGTCAGTGATGAAGACAAGCGGGCGGCGGTTGCCCTAGCAGACTCGGATCTCCAGTTCATCCTTCAGGAAGCAGGCGCAAGCCTTGACACTCAGTTTAAGGTGGTTCAGGCGCACTCCTCAAGGAGACGCTTTCAGGCGATTGCAGATACTCAAGCGGAGGCCAGGCTGGCAGCAGAGAAAGACATAGGTCTGGATAAGAGTACCATCGAAGGCCGGGCGCAAATTGCAGCTATCGTAGTTGCACGGGAGGCTGCGGCTGCGCGTGATTATGATCAGAAAGAGCATGAGCTTCGCGCAGAAGCACGCATCCTGGGGCAAAAGCGCATACTGCAAGCGCAAGAGCGACAATCCATGTTGCGTGCAGTCACGTCAGTGCATGGCAAGTTGAATGAGTCAGAGACACCGTCGAATGAGTACTTGTCGGCTAAGACTGAACAATGTGAGTCTAATGAGCCCCTTGCTGCAGCATTGGACATGATAAGCTCTCGTAAAGACCAACAAGTAGAAGCCATTCAGTCCACTGTTGATCCCACAGGCCTGGTGAAGGTTACGAAGACCTTGGCTAAGCCTCTAAGCAAGAAATGCCACATAATAGTGAGGCATACGGCGTGTACTCAAGGTGGAAGCCTTCGTCTGGTTGCGCATGTCTGCCAGGTACAAAGCCAAGCCCTTCTTGCAGGGTCTTAAGCTGGAATCTTTTACCAAGTTTGTGGATTTCATACAGGGGGATAAGGTAGCCAACCTGCGTCTTCCATCCAGCACTGGCAAGGAGCAGTTTCCACCGCGTCCACCATGGGCAATTGTACTCGCGTTTGAATACAAGCTTCGCACCGAGGCAATGCGTATGGTAGTAAAGCATGGAAAGACCATTGCGGAGCTCCTGAAGATCTGCCTTCGGCCAGAGCCCTTGTGTTTCCGGCGTGTAAAAGGCAGAAAGGGAAAGAACACGGGCAGCAGTAGCAGAAAGCATCCGAGACTCTTCATAAGGGAGAGCGCTGAAGGCTTCGAAGCTCCCTTCGAAGCTCCCTTCAAGAGCTAGCTCACACAAGCTGGCCATAACGCTCCATGGCAAGCAGATCTACTTTTCTTACAATGCCCAAGATTGCAAGAACAAGAGTTGTGATCAGGCGCACTGCTGCAGGGTGGCAGGTTGCTGTAGTGAGCATTTCGCGCGTTAGCGCGACACAGCAGTGGCTGTCTTTTAGCAAGGCGGTTGACAGTCCCTTTTTTAAAGTTGTGTGCCTTCGCTAGGACCCGCCAGACACTGCGACATTCGATCATGTCTGGAGAAACTTGTGTCTAACATCGTTCTCCAAGAGTTTGACATTTGTCGTAACGACAAACACGACCTTACCCAAGCAAATGTATGGGATCTTACGCAGTGCTTGCCAAGTCTAACATTGTTTTCATGACGAGCCTCCATGTAAGACGCGGAGGCAGCACCAACATGGCTCAGCCCTGAATGAGCACTCTGCACTCGCTCTCTTATCGCGCCGCAAAGAGACTGCCCTTAGTGTGTTGTTTCTTCTACCCACTTTCTCTTTTACCTTTCTTGGTGGATTCTGTTTTCTGGCTGCGTCTTTGCCGTCTCATTATTGTTCCGCGGCTTTCTTCTGCGGCCACTGCCGCCGCTTTCTGCTTCCTTCGCTGTATACAGTTTTCTTCTGCAGCCTTCTTGGTGCGCCGCCGCCCACGATATATTTGGTTCCTGCTTGGAGAGTGACTTCAATTACGCTGTGTTTCACAAGGTTTCGCCAGCACTGCATGATTCCAGCCATTCGGAATCCAAGAATGGACGGCGAACAGACCTTAAAAAGGCTTCTTAACAAGAAGACCCAAGAGGTTAGAGCGAAGCAGCGGCGTCCAGCGAGAAAACAGTGCAGTTGCAAGCACAGGCATGTTTTTAGGCCACCGTATAAGCAAGGAATCCAAGATGAACCGACAAGCACCTCAAAAAAGGCTGCTTAACAGGAATAACGCTTAACAAACCAGCAAACACAACGTCGCAGCGCAAAGAACCGCTGCGCAAGCAGAGCGCAAGCGACGTCCAGCGGAAAGTCCAGCTTCTTAAACAAGAATGAGCTAAAGCCACAACATAATTCCAGCTATTCGGAATCTCAGAGCGAACAGACTCTACACCCCACTTCTTCGCGCTCTCTCTTCATTTAGATCTCAAAAGCCCTTCAAGCCCTTGAAGCCCTTAAAGCTCCCCTTCCAGCTCTTGAAGCCCTCTTCAAGTCCTTAAAAATAACCAAAAACACGCTAAGTCCCCCTTTCTGCCACCTTTTAAACCCTCTTTAATTGACCTCTTCAGCCCTCTTTAGCCTCTCTTCTAAGCTTCTTCTTTAAACCTCCTTAAGCTCCTCTTTGAAGGGTAGGCTGAGAGGGGCTTCAAGAGCTTCAAGGGAGACTTCAAAGGGCTTGAAGGGGGCTTCAAGGGCTTCAAGGGCTTGAAGGGCTTGAAGGGCTTTTGAAGGAGGCTGAAGGGCGCCTTCGAACGGACGGAAGACTGAAGGGGGACTTCAAGAACCAAAAAAAGCGGGAGGTCGAGAGAGGGCGCAGTTCCCCTCGCGGAGAGGGTGAGGGTGGGTCGAAAGGTTCCCTTGTTCGCACTGCCAGGAGAGTCAGCGGAGGCGCCACAATCTTCGTGAAAGGTGCGTACTGCAGAGGGAGATTGGTTGGCCTGAGGAAGCACACTGCCAGCCTGCCACATGTAGATCAAACGCAACCGGGGTTCACCTTCAGTGCTGTGGCTCCCTTCCAGGGTGTCAAGATTCCGTTCACAACAATAGTCGCAACGTCCCTTTTTCTAACCTGGTTATCCTGGTGGGGAAGCTTGTTGGTGGCGCAATATGGATCGAGAAACCCGAAGGCTGCATCCCTCAGACCACACCTGGGTGTATAAAGATGGGGATTGACTTAGACTTAGAAGTGAATAAGGGTCCTGTGACTTCTAACGCCTTTGACTCCTTCCACTTCACCCGTGCCTGGAAGGGAAACCGCCTAGTGTTAGTGGCGTACACTACGGATAAGACTTCCGAGCTGACAGCAGACAGCAGCTTTTTGCAGGAACTGGGCTTCAGACCTCTTCCCGTAGGGGTGAGACATCCGAGGCTTTGGATTCAAAGGGAAAGGCACGGGTTCCGTTAGAGACATTCCCCGGAATGGTGCGGGAACAGAGGTTTGCCTGTCGAGGTGGAGTGGGAGAATCACTCCGATGCATTCACTGACGGTTTCGGGCTATGCTCGCCCACGCGTTGGCGGCCTGGGGATCGGGGAGGTTCCCTATCTTCTACTGCCCGCAGTTTGTGCCACTCACTCCATCAGTTAGGGCTGGACCTTGTTCGTGAACAGGTGAAAGCGTGAAAAACTTAAGGTCCCTCTAGACCTTTTCCCCTGGAAACAACAAGTCACAGCGGACAGCTGCAAGTCTTTTTCAATCAGCCTTGAGCCAAAAGTTGCGGAGTGCTTGAGAGTTCACAACTAAGTGTGAAAACGAATTAGAACAAACGAGTTAGCGTATTGG